GTGGGGGGGGGGGGGGGGGGGGGAGGAAGGTTCTTTTAAATCTCTGAGGATAGGACAAGAAGCAATGGCCTTACACTGTAGCAAGTACTTGCACTAAACATCCCCCTGCACTGACATAAGTTACAACATCATAGTCTAACCTCCATTTTATGTACGGCCTAACTAAGACCCCAATCTGCTACAGGGAAGGTGAAACCCTCCCCACAGCTTGTCTTGGCCAGTCTGGTGGTGAGAGAAAAAGCCCTTCCCAGACTCCCAAGACAAGAGCAAATAACATAATGACTACAGCAAATCAGGAAAAATGTATTTAACTATGTGACCAGTGGGGAGAGTACCTGGGTGTTATTTTGCCTGGCTGAGATAAAAGTATACTTTTCCTGTACTGCTATGGACCTGAATAGTTCCCTCCTCTCTTCTGTACAACTGGGAGATAAAATGAGTATATGTTCCCATGATGATCTGGTCTATTGCTACTGCAGCTAATCAACCTGGCTGGCCCTCTAGTCCTTAAATGAGCCAAACCTTTTCAAGTCATACACTGCTCAATCGTAGTGACATTACTGTCCCATGCCTCTGAGAGTCAACCCACAAAGCCATCCATTTGTCAGTGTGATACTGCCCCCCATATTTTTAATGGAAACGTGTTTTTGAATATGAATCACCTAAATATGCTTTACACAAAATGGGGCATATAACTCTATCATTCAAGACCCTTTAATTCTCTGAATGCGTATATTCTATTTGTGTGTGTAATGGGGCAACTGCCCCCACTCTGGCCACAAGGGTTTAAAGCAGGCTGGAGGGAGCCTGCACAGAGCCCTGGCCAATCAGAGAAGGGCTTAGGAGCCAATGAGAAGGTGGCTTGCTGGAGCAGCTCTGTTTATAAGGCACTGCTCAGCAAAGCAGTGGGCAGTTGGGCCCTGACCAGGGAGGGCACAGCACTGGTTCTCAAGCAGAAGTACCTTAGAGGGAGTAGTGCTGGGCATGCTCAGAGGATCTAGAGACAGAGAATCCAGCCTGATACCTGCCAGGCTACAGACCTTGATACAAGGGCCAGGAGGGTGTAAGGGTCATGGGGAAGTGGCCCAGGGTACAGGAGACCATTAAGAGGAGAGAGGAGGAGGGCAGGACAAGGCTGCTGCTGGAGTGCCCCAGAGCTGGGACCCAGAGTAGTGGACAGACCTGAATCCTGCCTCTACCTCTTGCACTGCACCTAGTCACACTGAAGAGTGGCCTTTATGAACTGTGGCTTGTCCCTAAGGTGAGGGTTATGCTGAGGCTGAAGTTGGCCACAGTAGCAGGTGCAAGACTGTGAACGTATGATACCCCCAGAAGGAGGGCAATAGAGCAGTCTCCTGAGGAAGACACCATGGTCCTGGGAGCAACGCAGGTATAGAGCAGACGGTGGAAAGAGCACAGAGCGATGACAGACAATACACCGTGCAGACAGGGGCACCCTACTGAAGACAGAGCTAATTCCCAGTGTGACCAGAAGAAGGCACCACAGCAGTGAGTTGCGACCCATTTACAGTGTGCATTTTTCATTCTTGTATGTGAAGTTAGAAATATGAAGTGTAAACCTGTTTATTAATCTAGATCTTCTAGTTAAAGTCACGAATGGTACTTGAAGAACTTAATGGTCCAGTATTCAAGATCTATAGTCTGGTTTTCCTGTGAACATAAACTATGGTTGGTCCTACAAACATATGTGACCATGCCATCTAGTGCTGGAATCCATCTTTAATTTTGCATTTTTCCACAGGGTGGGGAGAATGGAACAAAGACTTTCCACTCTGGGGAAATTCTATTTAAGGAATGGGAAGCAAACAATGACTGTCTTCAACTGGCTTCACAGGCTGCTTGCCACCACAATAGGGGGAATACACAAAAAAAAAGACCTGTAAAGAAAACAGCTAGCATTTTTTAAAATTTTAGTTTAGTAACTCACTTTGATCTGTCTGTCATCACTTGCAACCACTTAAATTGTATTTGTTATACTTAATAAAATCACGTTTGTTTATTATCAAGCCCAGGGTAAATAACTGTAACCGGCAGGACGGGAGACAACAGCTATGCATCTCTCTCTCATTGACAGAGAACAAACTTTTTGAGCTTTCTCTGTATAAAGCCTTTATACAGAGTAAGAAATTTATCTTGGATTCTGATCCCATTGAGGCTGTGCACCTGAGGACAGTGTGAAGCCCTAAAGCTGAGCTGTTCTCAGTGTCTGTATTATTTTGCCAGGCGACTGTTACCCAAACTCTGTGCCTTTGCCAGGAGAGACCAAACCTGTCTAAGCCGGGTAGCATGATGGGAGTATCCTAAAGAGCAGATAGGAGGATTCAGTGGTATCCTCAGCCCCTCAGGTGACAGTCTCAAGGGGATCCCTGTGGCCTAACCAATCACAGTCAGCTTTTTGCAAAAACATCTATCTTTGTCCATC